GGTTTTAGAGACTTTGTCCCACTTTATAGGAAACATATTAAAAGGTACCTCCCATATTAAATATGTGGTTTCATTTTTTAATCTTTGCTATTACATGTTAAAATAACTGTACTATTTTGCTTCTGAAATTATTTGACTACAAATAACTGACTTAAATTAGAATTACCTAACATTTCTTAACAGTTAACATATTTAGGAATTTTTGCAAAGTGAGAATTGTTTTCAAATGTAATGAAATTTTATAAATGCTAAATTTATTAGTGAATAAAGTTGCTGGGTTATATTTTGAGGACATTTAAGCATTTGCTAATTCTTATGGTTATAATTTTCTTTTTATATTTTTTAAAATATATTTTGTTCTTTTTGTATTTTGAACTTGCAAATGTATTCTTCCAGGTCCTAAACATTTTCCTGGTCTCCTGAAAAGCTTATTGATTCTAGGTGTTAGATAGAGGGTGAATAATAGATAAAATGGCACTGTTCACTCCCCTGTTTTAAAATTCTTCTGTGACTTTCCACTGTCCTTAAAATAAAATCCTTACTGTGACTTGCAAGATCCACTATGATTTAGCTCCTCCTCCCTTCTAGGGTTCATCTCATCCCTCTTTTCTCTGTTCACATTGTCCTAACCTCCTGATCATCCATCCCTCTTATTCCTTGAACACTCAAGCAGTTGCTTTTCAACTCAGCTTAAGTGCCCCTCCTGAGAAAACCCTTCCATAACCACCTCAACTAAAGGGAGCCTCCCTCAGTTATTCCGTATCCCATCAAACTCTTTATTTTCTTCCCAGTGATTTATTTTTTCCATGAAGATGTTGGTTACATGTGGGCAAGGACCTTTCCTATTTGGTTTATTGCTCTGTCCCCAGCACCTGCCAGAGTCAGACACATAGGAGGCACTTAGTACATACCTGTTGAACAAATGAAGAGTTACATTAATAGATTTTGTAATTTAACCATTCTTGCATTTTTGGTAAAAACACTATGTGATCATAATATGATCTTAAAACTGATAAATTCAATTTGCAAATACTCTACTTAAGATTTTTGTGTCTGTCTTCACAAGTGAAGATTGGTGTATAGTTTTATTCTTTTGTACCATCTTAGTCCAGATGTGTATCAGAAATAAGTTAGCCTCATAGAAGAAATTAGGAAACTTTCCCTTTTATATCTATAAGTTTGAGAACAGGAGGGATAGATAATATGGAAAGTTATCTGTTTGATAGAAGTTTGGTACACTTCATCCAGAAAACCATTTGTACCTTCTGTAGTTTTAGTTTGGATATTTTACAAATTTTTTATATAAGTTTTTGTTGTTATTTTCACAACTTTTTGTTTTTTTTTTTATCCTCATTCAGAGAGATGAAGGAGAGAGAGACAGACAGAGGGAGAGGGTGAGGGGGAGAGACCAGAGATACGTATGAGAGAAATATCGATCAGTTGCCTTCCATATGCCCCCTGACTGGGGATTGGATGTGCAATCCAGGTATGTGCTGTGACCGGAAATCAAACAGGCAACCTGTTGGTGCATGAGACAAAGCTTAACCAACTGGGCTGCTCCAGCTGGGCTCCTGACTTTTCTTGAGTTGATATGGCACTTTCTATTTTCCTTGACTGTCATCCATTTTTATTTAATCTTCAAGTTTATTGTCACAAAGTTATGCGTAATTCTCTCACAATTAAAAAAAAAATTTTCTCCAAATCTGTAGTTATAAAGCCCCCTTTCTCAGTCCTACTGTTCATTTATGACTTCTCTTTTTTTAAATTGATCATATTTTCCAAATGATTATTTACTTTTTTTTTTTTCAATTTGAAGTGAACTTCATTTTTGGAGGACTTTTCCTATTTTATTTAATAAGCATTTTTATCAGAAATTAAAATTTTTAAAAAAATATATTTTATTGATTTTTTACAGAGAAGAAGGGAGAGAGATAGAGAGCTAGAAACATCGATGAGAGAGAAACATTGACCAGCTGCCTCTTGCACACCCCCTACTGGGGATGTGCCCGCAACCAATGTACATGCCCTTGACCAGAATCGAACCCAGGACCTTTCAGTCCGCAGACCAACGCTCTACCATTGAGCCAAACCGGCTTCGGCTAATTATTTACTTTTATTTATTTATTTTTAAACAAAAAAGTTTCCCGGGTTTTTTGTTTGTTTGTTTTTGCCAGTCTACTCTTTTAAAAAAAAAAGATTGCTTATGTTTTTATCATTATTAATTTTTCATTGGGTTTGTTACTTGTTTATTGGGCTTTTGAGTTAAATGTTCAGTTTATATTTTTCTGTTTTCTAATAAAAATATTTTAATAGTATGTAGTGATCAAAGATACTAAGTTTGAAAAAGGACACTTATGTGAGTGTATAACTTCTGGTCTGTTCGTTTAAAAAAAAGTAAATTTGCCGAAACCGGTTTGGCTCAGCGGTAGAGCATTGGCCTGCTGACTGAAAGGTCCCAGGTTCAATTCTGGTCAAGGGCATGTACATTGGTTGCGGGCACATCCCCGGTAGGGGGTGTACAAGAGGCAGCTGGTCGATGTTTCTCTATCATCGACGTTTCTAGCTCTCTATCTCTCTCCCTTCTTCTCTGTAAAAAATCAATAAAATGTATTTTAAAATAATAATAAATAAATAAGTTCATTATTTTATTACTTCGTAGCCCAACTTTACAAAAATATAATTTAAAAACAGAATCTAATCAATAGGAAAAAATTACAATAAGTATATCACAGAGTCCAAAAATGTCTGAAAATATAGGGGAAATAGAGTATTTATTGCACTTGTTTCTTTTAGATGAACAATTGGAATAATTGCTTTAAGTTTAGACGTATCTCACCAATAAATAAATAAATAAAGATGTTAGGATGTTGAAGAAAAATATCGATCATATTATTTGAAAGCAGAACTACTAATACTTTGTTTTAAAATGTGTCTATGTTTCCCAACTTTGTGCAGTTTGTTATTGAACACTAACATGGTAACACATACATCATTCATACAATAATGCTCTGCATTGGGGAATGGAGACTTAGCAAAATTCAGTTTATAAAGAGATCGTGTCCATCACAAATTGAAACAAGGCAGCTGTACAGTCTTCATGCATTTTAACATGTTAAGCTTGCTCCACGTAAGTAATCTTTCCGTAACTCATCTGGAAGGTATTGGAGGGATAAAAATAGACTAAGTATTCAAAATTTCCATCCTAGGAGTTTCCTGCTTTTGCCTACATCTCAATTGTCAGTCCAACTCCTGGCTCTTACTCCACTCAGAGCTGTGCAAAGACAGTGGGAGCATGTAAGCCATAAATACTCAAGCTGCCAGATCATCCAGGCATTGGCCTCGGCCTTCCCTGAAACAGCTCCTTTCCCGTTCTTCCATCGGAGTAAAGGGGAGGTTGGAGACCATGTAAGGGCCCAGGAGCCAGGATGATGAAGGTGGGATAAGGGAAGGGTTCATGGGTTCCTTTTTGAGGAATGTGGGGCTTACAGAATCCATCAGTTCTCTGCTGGCTGGCATGGCAGATTACATTCCGTCAGCCCGGTTCATTTGGAGAATCCCACTGGAATCCCACCTGATCCGCTCTATCGATGGAGTCTAATACACACAGGGCACTTTCGCTCACTGGCTATCATTTAGTTACTTTATTTCCTCAAGCAATCCTTTTTTCTTTTTTTTTAAATATATTTTTGTTGATTTTGTACAGAGAGGAAGGGAGAGAGATAGAGAGCTAGAAACATCCATGAGAGAGAGTCATGGATCAGCTGCCTCTTGCATACCCCCTACCGGGGATATGCCCGCAACCAAGATACATGCCCTTGACCGGAATCGAACCTGGGACCTCTCAGTCCCCAAGCCGACGCTCCATCCATTGAGCCAAACCTGTTTCGGCTCCTCAAGCAATCCTTAAACAAATAAATGGAGGCCAGTTTCTGAAAACTATGTGATTTTTATTCCTTATATTTGGGTGGCCCAGGACTTCCAAACGGAGGTCTAATTCATTTATTTACCTTTTTGGCGCTTGCTGTAGTCATGCAGGAAAACGAGGTGCTTGTCCTTGTACAGACTGGGGAAGATAGCAGTGAGCACATTATTTCACAAACAATAAATTGCTGTTGTGACCAGTGCTGTGAGGTATAATAGTAAAAGATACCATGGGCGTGTTGGACAGGGAGGCTGGTCTAGACTGGGAAGAAAAAGGAAAGTTTTCCCAGGGCAGTGACGTACTTTGGAGATGACAAGGATAAGATGAACAGACCTGGGGGGGGGGGGGGGGAAGTCATGTTTTAGAGCTGAAAGGAACCTAAGATACCATCTATGCTGACTTATTCTACAGATGAGAAGATCAAGGGCAGGGATAGGAAGGACTTGCCTCTCTGAGGTCACACAGCCTTTAGCCCCAGGGGTAGGGGGGCAACCCCAGTGTGGGTTTCTTAGTGATTAGAACTCTAAAAGCTTATAGCAAGAAGGGACCTAGGATGGGGGAAACAGGCAGGTTTTTAATTTAGTGCTTACTCCGTGTCAGCTGCAGAGCGACTTCCTCAGGCAGGGGAGTAGATCCATAATGACTCAAATCTGGCTTATCCTAGAGCCGTGGTCGGCAAACTCATCAGTCCACAGAGCCAAATATCAGCAGGACAGCGACTGAAATTTCTTTTGAGTGCCAAGTTTTTTAAACTTAAACTTCTTCTAATGCCACTTCTTCAAAATAGACTCGCCTAGGCCTTGGTATTGTGTGGAAGAGCCACACTCAAGGGGCCAAAGAGCTGCAGTTTGCCCACCACTGTCCTAGAGGAACTCTGTTATGCTGCAGCATAATTTTTATTTCAGGTGGTGGGAGGAGGCACCCAAAACTATTAACGTGTAGTTCACTTGGGAAGCCAGTCCCTGCCCTGCAGCTGTCTAGCTGTGTGATTTGGGATAAGTTACTTAACCTCTCTGAATTGCCATTCTCAATTTTTACTTTGGTATATTTACTTTCCTTCTTTTCCTGTTCATTTTAGGAGCTTGCTAGACATCAGTCGTGCCCTATGTTTCACCTTGATCTTTAAAAACTAAAGTCTCTTGTTTGGGTAAAGCATTGTTTAAGCCCCCTTTTAAAGAGCAATTTGCCAGCCTGTGCTTGCCCAAACAGCTAGAGAATAACTGTAGCAAGCAAGCCGAGCTCCAGGAGCTACAAGAATCGTTAGCAACTGAGCATATTTCCATAAACCAATAAAGGTTTTTATATTTTGTTCATCTGCTACCCCTGTGCTGTTGCCACTTTCACATGCAGTGTGTGTGGGCGGAGAGTATGAGATAACAGCTTCACAAACGAGTGGAAAAGGGGCGCTTTCCCTTTAAGGCAGTTTCAGCCTCTGCTCCCGCCCCTTTCCTGATTGACAAATCTACCCAGAGTCACATGATCCGCCTCTATTTGAAGGTCACAAAAAGCTGCTTCCTTTAGAGACAGAGGGGGGAGAGAGAGAGCAAGCGGGAGAGTGAGTGAGAGAGTTAGTTCAAGCCAAAATGGCCGACAGAGTCTCTGCTGGTTTCTGAATATTTAAAATACAAATACAGATAGACAAAAAGAAATCCTTTTTTGGACCTTTTTTCATTTCCATTTCTACCTTTTATGCCTCAATTTGCTGGATTTAAGCACTGCTGCACTTTATGAGGTTGGTACATATTTTCAATTTTTTAAAACCAGTTGATTTATATGGATTTTGTCTAACCGTTTTCACTAGTGGTGTTGCAAATCGACATTTGTCTAGCATGGAGACTGGCTTCAGACATTTCGTGAATCGGTGTAAATTAGACCCGTGGTGTACTTTTGGTTCGGCGTTTTAGAAAGGGAAAAGCCGTGGTAAAATATTTAGATTTTGAAGTGACTTAATTGCACTTTTCATCTCTGCGACTCTTGTCATCGTTTCTGTCTTGCCACTAAATGAAGCTGTGAGTAATTGAGATTTAATATTTAGAAGGGGGTTTTTAAAAAACACAGACCTCTCCCGGTCCCCTTAAATCTGCTGCAAAAATTTGCATAAATATAAATGGGTTTGCATTCTTTCGGCTGCTAAGGCCGACAAAGGATCTGGGAGGGCAAGCACTACAGCGGGGAAGCCTTTCTCTCTTTTTTATTTTTTTAAAGCTAGGCCATCTTCCTAAAGAGATATAAACCTAAAATGAGACCTGATACGTTTTAGACACCCGGAGGGGGCCGCTGAGCCCCGGGAGGTTGGGGTTTGTAGATTCCCCTGCTTGCAAACCTCCTGCTCGCCCCTCTCCTCCGCGCGCGCTCCTGTGCACGGGCTTCTCTCTTCTCAAATGTGCAGCCAGATGCGCTGTTATTTTGATCGCGATTTGAACCAAATGGTAGGACCATCTCGTAAACACAGTGTTTAAAAGGTATAACCAGCGATTCACCCCGATAAAGAATTATTTCTTTATCAGTTTCTCCCTGGAGACGAGCCTTCCCCCCGTTTCTCGCGGATTACATGTATTGTTTCATTTTACGCGGAGGAACTGGGCTTTTCAGCACGAATTCAGCATCTGTTTGTGCGGTGGCCTGTTCCGGTCATTTCCATTGTGAAGTGGACATCGAGGGGCACGTAAATAATTAGCTGTGCACGTACATATGTTAGTTACTCCTGAAACTATGCGCTGCCCCGAAGTTAAATTCCATTACTCTCAACGCAGGATTCTAGAAAGCCTCGGAGCGGAGAGGGAGGAAAGCTGAAAACTTGCTTTCTCAGAGCCACCTCCCCCTATCATTGTGAGGGTGTGATGTAATGCTGCTCGGTCTGGTGGGCTGGAAGGAGGGAGTTTGTGCTGTGGCGGGTAAATTGCCCCCACCCCTGGGCTAAATTACCCCGCTCGCTCAGCACATCCCGGGCTCGGAGAGGCCTTCTTTTCTTTTCTTTTCTTTTCTTACCCCCCGCCTAATTTGTGTCCTGATTTATGCCTGGGAATATTGGCATGAGAAAGAGACTGTTCTCCTAAATCTGTTACAGAGTATAGTTTAGGAAAGGCATTTAAAATATGCAAATTGGCTGAGTTGTCATAATCCCCATCATTAAATATGTAGAGTTGGATTAAAGCTAATTAGGCATAAATGGAATAATTTTAATCAGAAGGGAGCATTGGCTGTATTTTGGGTTCCTTTTTAATTAATCTAATTACAAGATGCATGCTGGGCCTGAAAGTGTTAAAAAAAAAAATGGAAAAAATGCTGGACCATTTTGAAAATTTGACAGTCTAGAAGAGGGCTGTGGAGTGCTTTCAAAAGCTTTATTCACTGTAAAAATGGATTGGCCTCTTGTGCTGAAAATGGCCTGTTTCTTTGGGCCAATTGTGTGTAGATGAAGGGACTTCCACGCTAATTTAACAAAAAGACTTTCCGTTTGAATACATAAAGATAATTAAAGCGCTCTCTCTCTAAAGAGCAAGTATTTTATTATTTTTCCAAAACTAATGTTATTGGTAATGGAAATAAGCAGAGAAGCTAAGTGATGGTTTTAAATTCAGTGTAAATTGTTTGGGTAATACAAGTTTCACTTTGGTGTAAGAAGGCTTGGAAACATCACATTAGAGAGGTAGTCTGGAATAAATTTGTCTCTTAAATTTTTTTTTTACGGCTTCAGTTTAAAGGAAAAACGTAGAATTTGCCATAGTGATAGAGTGATGCTTTGTGGTGGACCTGAGGAAAATGAGAGCTCTGATTTTGCTTGTGTTTATCTGAAAATGAAAGTGCTTATTTGGGGCTTTACTTGTTAGATGATTCATTTTACATCCATTTCCTCAATTGTTCCGACAGAAGACTAAGAAAAACCTAGGCTTTCTATGTTTTGCCACTAGCCTGTGTGTGTGTTTTGTGTGGACTGTTGGCTTGTGAATAGCAGGTTAACTCAGTTTGCAGAGCAGAGGACCCAGGAGCAGAGTGCGCCTGCTCTCTCAGGCAAGAAAGAGGAGGATATAATGAACATAGCCAGATGCCATCTAATTCTCTGAAATGTTTTTATAAATATTCTTTTATCCAAGACATTGGGAAGTGAGATAAGTAAGACCTGCTTTCACGTATGTTAATAAGCATTATGTCTCTGGTGAGTTTCAGAAACTCGGCTGCCATTTTGGATCGAAGTTCCTGCAGAGCCAGTCCTTATGGCACAGCCAAACTATGGTAATTCCGAAGCGAATGAAAACGAGTAACGAAACAAGTGTGCAAATGGATAGTATCTGATTTGTGTCTTTCATTGAAGTTGTCTGTCAATAGTGTGAAGTGAAGCTTTAAGAACTTTAGGGATGTGGCTGATGTTATGAAGAACAAAATCCAGGGATGTTAGGACTGGCTCTGTTGTGGTTTTTAAATGAGATGGCATGTGAGAGGAAGTTTTTTACTGGAGAAGATGAACATAGTCTACTTGCTTCCCCCTCCCCCTCATCCTCTGCTGGGTCTACTTGTGATGTTACAGCACTATCGTTCACAACGCTGCTGCCTCACAAGAAGGTGTCACAGATTCCTTATTAAAATTTTACTGAAACTTCACAGAAATTAGTAGTGCTTCATCTATCAGAAGTTGTATCTTGTTTTTAAACTGTTGTTTAGTCCTTCCATCTGGGTGCCAGAGAGGAAACGCTGGCAACTTTGATACATGGTGCAAACTCCACTCTGTTGTTCAGCTTTGAAAGGCCATTTGTTATTCTCTATGACCACCAAAACAGTCCTTTAAAAATAAACCTCTTAGAACTGGAGCGGAAACCTGTAAGGCTTTTCTAGCTCTTCAACTCTCCTGGAGACATTAAAAGAGCGACCTGATGGTGAGACCTTCAGGCTCTGCAGAGCGGGCCCAGCAGATAACAGCAGTGAGGGGTGGATCTCATCCTTTCCAGCTGCTCCATGACTGAAAAGTGCTGAAGAAATTTAATTTTTATAACTCACTGTAATCATTGAGCTTTTGCATTGTAAACTGGACAAGCCTAAAACAGTACAGATCATGTTCTTGGTCCCTTCCCTCAAGGGGTACCAATCTAGCAAGGGAGATACTCAGGTAAAGGGGTCAGCAAGGTGCTATGTGTGCAATCATTAGCATAATACTTGGTACTGAAGTGTCCTCAGTGTCTGTATTAGGTGAATCCTTATTTAAAGAAGCCAAATAACTGCCCCCTGCTAATTTTTAGTCATCGTTTGGATATTAGATTTTCTTTATTTTATTTTAATATATTTTATTGAGTTTTTACAGAGAGGAAGAGAGAGGGATAGTTAGAAGCATCAATGAGAGAGAATCATCGATCAGCTGCCTCCTGCACACCGCCCACCGGGGATGTGCCCGCAACCAAGGCACATGCCCTTGACCGGAATCGAACCTGGGACCTTTCAGTCCGCAGGCCAATGCTCCATCCACTGAGCCAAACCTGTTTCGGCTAGATTTTCTTTAAATGAAACTTGTGACTTAAAGATGTTTCAGATCGTTGGCAGCATATGCTAATTGTTTCCTAGTATAGTCTTATTCCTGGATTTACACTAATCTGACTTCCCTCACCTGCTTCTTGCAATTAAGACTGGTGGGAGAGTGAAGTTGGGTGAATTGAAGCCACTTGGCCTGAAAGGGGATTTAATCCATGACAGTGACAGTTCAGCATGTTCTTTTTTCTTCCTTTATATGTTCATTCAGCAGTCACTTAATGGTCCCTGGTGTGTGTCAGGTGCTGGGGAATCCAAGAATTAATTTGGTTGCTCCATTGTCTTAAACAGCCATTTGGTTCATGTGGACATGTTTGCCATCTGGTAACTAATTAACCTACTGCTTTGGGTTATGACTAGGGTAAGGCTATCGTTCCTTTCACACGATGGTCACTTTACTAATAATTGGGAAATGAATAGTAATTTTTGCTTCTCGTAGCTTCTAGAGACTTCTACTTAAGGTTTGACCGGATAGCCATTTTTTCCATTTTCTCTTAACTCTACATAAGTATCTCATCAAAATTATCTTTTGAATGATCTCTGAGAACCTCAAAACCTAAGTCACCTCCCTAGTTACTCTGACATTCCTCAGTTTTACTTTTTAACACCCCTTCATTGTATCTCCATCTGAAATTACATTATTTGTCTTCGGTGCATCAGCCCCCACTAACCCATCCGCTTTCATAGGAGCAGACTGTTTTTCTCATTGCTCAATCCCCAGCATACAGATCAGAGCTCAGCAGGAACAAGTGCTCAGTAAAAGTGTATGAGTTAGAACTGAATCACAAGGTCACCAGGACCAGCTACATGACCATAAGCCCCTGTTTCTTTATCAGTAAAATGGGGCTAATACATTGTGAAGCGGAAAGGAAATGCTGAAAGGGAGGGCCAGCACCTAGTCTTCCTAGTCTTATTGCTTAGTAAGTGTTTCCTTCCCCTTTGTTAAATAAATAAACCAGAAGGCTTTTATGGCCCGCAGATACCTCCATTCTTTCTCCCGACTCCCAGGATCCACTCCCAGGATCCTGAAGCTTGCGTACTGATTGCCCTGAGCTTCAGCCTTTTCTTCTTCTATGGTCTGATGTGGTCTCTTCAGGCGCTGCTGCTGTGGTGGGCCCGCTTTTGCTTGGCTGCTTTTCATACGTTCTGTGTTTTGCATCAAAAGTTTCAAATGAATTGGTCTAAGAGTTTACAAGGCAAAGGGGAACATAGCATACA